TGCTACACTTGAATCCAGAGGGAAGTTTGTGACTTTCCTCCTCCGAAGCTGAACTCTTTTAGAGTCAGGGACGTTTCTGGGAGCAAGTGTTGAGCGCTAAAAAAAAAAAAAAAAGTTGAACTGCTGTCTCTAGCTCACAGAGGAGGAAGGTTGGAACCTTTCAGCTTCCATCTTACTTTATACAGAGCTCAGAAGGTTTACAGCTCTGCAAGTGTTTGTGTGCTTGTGCGTGTGTGTGTGTGTGTGTGTGTGTGTTTACAGGCACATAGTTTGCATTTATTTTTGCTGTGTTCTTTGGCTTTATCTTTGTAAATAATGTGTGTTTTTCACCCGCTCCACAAGGGAAGGAGAGACATGCATTTCTAAATTACTTCTTGGTTGGTATTTAGCTTTCCTCACAGAATATTACAGTGTCAGGGGTTCTGTCTTTCTACCAAAACCACTCCCGCCCTGTCAGTCTTTATAGAGTGTTTTTTTTTAATGTTCAAATAATAAGTGTCCCATTCTTTATTCAGATGATTCAGATGACTTTAACTTCTAAGAAGCAAAACAAGCTTTGTGTATATAACCTGTCTATGTGGTTCTACTACAGTATATAATGGTTTGTCATATTGATCTTGCCTAGTGTGAAACTATTCTGGTTGTTTTCCTCTGACTGGAATTGTCTCGAGTTCCCTGATGCTGTCTGTGCTTCATACAAAAAAGTGCTCCTGTTTTGTTCTCGCTAGTGGTGTTTGTTATCTGATTGGGGGGGGGGCACTCTCAAGATGCCTCTAACCATTTTTAGAAGCCCAAACATTGAGATCTTTTTAATTCCTCCATCCACAAAGACATTTTGCAAGTGTTCTGGTAAATAAGCAGTTAGACAGAGAACTTAGTTTTACAGCCTTAGATCTGTCTGGTTAGTTTACGACATTTTGAAAGAATCAGGGTATTAGAAAGTTGCTCTAAATCATTGTTTTCACCAGTGTTCACTCTCTTTCCTTCAAAAATTCTGCTTAAATTAACTAGTATGACAAGCAGGTGTTTGCTGGTATTCATGACGTTTAACAAAATCCAAGTTTACAAATAAAAAGATCTGGTTGCTTACATATGAATCCTTGTAGAGCTCTTGCTGATTTTATAGACAGGTTTTGTGGGCACCCAGCTGCAACCCCCAGCTTCAAGTCAGTTCACCACAGCTGTAAGGCTCCCTCATCAGGGTGGAGTCACCACCGGAGGGCAGACAAGTCGTCACAGTCATGCACATGCTAATGATAAACCCTTGTAAATACAAGTGTACAAAAGAGATTTTGATTTTGCATTGTATTAAAAAAATACAATCATCATGTTCTTAAAGCCATTTGATAGTTTTAACATGTTAACAGTTGGAATCCAATTTGATCATGGTATTTGATAGTGAATCACAGTGAGATCTCAGCCAGTCGATGATGGTGCGGTGTGTGTAAATGCAGTATGTCGGGCTGTATGCAATGTGAAGCCCTGAGATGGGAGATGACAGTGTACTGAATATCATACTTGGGATAATGAGAGTATTTCTAGTTTGATTAAAGGTATGCTGTGCGTAGGCTTCTTGTTGCTATGACTTCCATCAAAGTGTTTGAAGTATGTTAATTGACAGCAAGTGTGTTTTTTTGCACTATGTAAAGACAGTACTGGTAAAGGTCTTGTAACTAATGTGAACAAAAAAAAAAAGAAAAAAGAAAAAACGGTTCAATGAAGTACTTTTTTCAGTGTGTTCCTCGTCTTTATATGGATATTTAAGACCGTCTCCTTCAGACTGTACATCACTAGCAACATTGTTATAGGCTGTTTCTCATAATCCTGTTATTGCTCTTAACCTATATGGACTGATGATTAACATCATTAAAATGTTGTTTAAGTAAATCCTTTGACTGATGTCTTATTCTCTATCCACTTGTCCTACATCCTCAAAACAGAAAAATAAACTAGTTCGATAATCGATTTATAATTTCAGTCACTTTTCAAGCAAAAAAATGCCAAATATGATATTTTTCCAGATCCTAAAATGTCAAGATATAATGCTTTTCTTGGTTTGTATACAGTGTTGCAACCAGCAGTGTAGTGGTAGTTGATAATGTAGGCATACTACTAGGTAGATGCAGTGGGTATATTCTCCTATCTACTCCAATGGCTTTTTGGCTAATAGGTGGGTATAGCTACAGTATGGCAGTGGTAACCAAGGGTATGAGATTTTTCACAGTATGATGACCTTCTTCCAAAATATTAAGGTTTGAATTTTTATTTTCATTTGTTACAATGGCCCTGTGAACTCCCAGATAGGATTGGAGCTGAATTATCCGCAGAGGACTATACCTTTCCAAACTAAACGAACCAGGTGATTTAAAACCGGTGAAAACGCTGAGTTTGAAATTACAAATCAGTCTTTCACCTACCCTGTTTGGCTAGTCGCTAGCAAGCACCCGCTAATGTGATTTACCCTTTTCTCTGATAACTTACGACTCAGACATTCAGAATTTGATTTTCTCAGAAGCCAATTTATACTCCACTTTTATACTGTCGAAAACAAATGGACAAGGTGATTACAAATTTTAAAAAATACTGAATAAAGAAGTTTTACGTTACAAATCAGTGTTTTTCTGATTCGTAGCGGAGGGGCTTCTAACTACGGAAGCCGACGCGAAAACGAAGCTGGCCCGGTTTGCCCATTCTGGGCTACTGTAGAAATAACATGGCGGAGCAATATGGCGGACACCTGTTACCGATATCAACGGCTCATTGTAAGGTGAGGAAAACACCACAACTCTCATATTCAGGTGCTTATATATTAATGAAAACGTACTTATTATATACTATATTACATTTTCTGCCATATACCCCTAAATCCTACATGACGAAAATGATAAACGCTTTTTATTTCACAAAATACTCTGTCCAGACAGACATGAAACTGAGTATAATCTTGAAATATTTTTTTGAAAAAGCAACAGTTAAATGGTAGAACTGAATACCATCGATGAAGCAAATGTACATGGTATGCTAACCGTCAGTCTTTAGACTATGGTATTGATGAAACTGCTACACAACTGCAACTTGTATTTGATAGTCAATTTAGTATCCTTGGGTTTTGGACTGTTGGTTGGCTAAAACATTCTTGTTGAATCATATCTCTTATCATTTTTTTTATTCATCATTTTTACTATTTTGCAACAAACAATGCATTAGTTAATTGAGGAAAATAGTCCTCAGATAATTGCTCATTAAAATAATTATTACTGTAGGCCTAGATTGCAGTTTTGCCAAACGTCCACTGGGAGGAGACAAATCCCAGCTGTACACTGTTATTGCACTCAGACTTGAAGACTTGCCTAGTATGCAATTGTCAAGTAATCTGTAATATAGTTTCTTTCTGAATGCTTACACACCAACAGTGAGCACTATTTCTGAAACCATTAACACTGGTAGCAAGTGTGCCAAACTGAATATACATTATCTGCTTTACACTCAGTTTGTAACTTTATAACAAACTTTTTGCAAAACTGTGAACACATTTAACTGTGTTACCCTTAAATTAATCAATTGATTAATTAACTTTATTTATACTGCAACTTTCATGGACAGAATGCATGAAAGCGCAGAAAGTACTTTACAATTCAGCAGCAGAGACAGACAGCAAATAAACCATACAATTATACAACACCCATTCAAGGAAAATTGGGAGGGATAAATAAATAAATTAATCAATCAATTAATCACGTAATTAGAAAAATACATAGCCTATTAAAATATTAAAACATATATCTGCTAGTTATAGGCTATATTAAAAAGATATGTTGTTGTTTAAAACTGTCCAGCCAGCAAGTCTAATATTTTAAGGCAGGGTGTTCCATATTTTTGGGGGCTGAGTAACTAAAGGAAGCATCCCCAAAGGTTTTTGTAGTGACATTAGGGACATTTAAAAGTGCAGCTGTGGAGGATCTCAGGGTTCATGGAGGAACATTAGGTGATAGGGAGTCTAGATATACGATATAAGATGGTTTGCAATATAATTAATGCCTAGCAAAACTGCGAACATCGGTCTCTACATTGCTACACTATTTTGCTTATTGCCTTTCCACACTAACACATGTGAAACACTTTTAGATAATGAGTTCGCTTGCAAATCCGAGCTTGAGCACTATAAATAGGCCACAGGTAAAGATTTTGACAGAAATGGAGGTCAGAGAGACAGAGAGATGTGGATAAAGTCTTACAGCTAGACCCAAAGAGAAGGAGAGATTTACCCTAATTTTTCACTTTTTCCTTTCTAATAGAAATGTTACGTGTTTCTTATTTATACTGTGTAGTTGTGCTCTTTTGATGCAAAACACATTTTTTTAAAAAAAGGTTTGCAAGAATTGTTTGCTTTTGCAACAGATGTATAATGTTTTACTGGTCTGTTGTAAGGTTTTGTGGTTATAATGTCAAGTTTTGCAAAATTAGCATATAGTTTCAAAGATATTGCCAAAGCAATCAGAAAAAAAACTGTATATAATTTGTTTTAAAGAAAAATCCTGAAGTAAGAAATTGTTTTACACTCTTATATTTCTGAAATTTAACCTGTATTTCCAGGCCTACTGTACATGTAGAAGTCCCTCTACGCTCTGCCTGCCTTTTTTGCGGTGGTTAGATTATAATCTTGTAATCAGGAATGAGTACAGTATGTAAAACACTCTTTGGTCAGGCGCCTGGCATTATGCTCTGATTGGAATCAAACGGAAATGCAAATGTTACAGTTAAATCCTCTTCCTCCTGTGTGTTAATGCAGGTCATTTTAATATTACATGCATTCTGTACACTGTGTAATTGTGCAAATCAAAACATTTTAAATCCTCATTTTTTTAGGAGGAAAGCCAGAGTATAACACTCCTTAATAGCATCTCTGAGGTGGAACTGATGTTAGAATAAAAGAATAGAGCACTCATGTACTGTATTGGCTCTGCTTCAGTGTATAAGTGTGAGTGTGTTTGTGTGTACAGCATGAGTCACCCTACCCGCCTGTGATTGGATGGTAGTTTATGGGTGAGGGAGGGGAAGAGAGCCTTAGGGGCCGTCTGTCAATCTTTCCTCCGCTCCATTCACACATTCATCTGCATGCACCGTCATAGGGGAGACAGAGGAAGTGAGCGAGAGCCTCTCATTCATAAAAAAAAAAAAAGAGAAAAGTTCATTCATAAAAGCTGCTGTGCCTCAGAAAGAAAAAGACAGAGGGGAGGAAAGTTGATGTGGAGGTGAAGCAGACCTGGAAGCCGGGCTACTGACTGAGAAAGTGTATGGGTCATTATGATGGGACTGTGCTCAGCGTGACTGGAGCGGAGCAGACTGGACTTTAGACTACACAGGACATCCCCAGTCCCACACTGGTGAGTTGAATCTACTGTAACGAACAGTAATTATCTGAGGACATAGTACGCTACATGCTAAGATAGTTTCCAAGATATCAGCTGATCAACTTAATGCATTTCATGCCTCTCCTGTTTTTTGCTGTCTGTAGCCATATCTACATTATGAGGTGTGTAATAACTGTGACTGTTGGTCTAATTCCTGGCAGGATTTCCTTTTCTCTTTTCTACTTTGTCCCAGTGCTGTCCTTTGTCCAGTTCCCTGATTATGAGAGAGCAAACCATACCCAGGTTCAAATCACAGAAAGGACTCTTACCAGGTAGCTCATCACTTTACAGACATACTGACAATGGGGATCACTGTGCTGTATATCTGATTGTCACACTTTCTGTTTTGTTTTCCCCAGGCATGCTGAAGCGCACCAAATACAGCCGTCTGCGCAACGATTCGCTGACGTCTCTGGAGGATCAGCCCCTGAAGAGCGACCTTTGCACAGACTTAGATTTTGCCCAGCTGAATCCGGGGACGCATTCACACCACGGGCCGTCCACCCTGAGGGACTTCATCCCCCGTGTGGCCAACATCCGACTGCAAAGTCCTATTTCCCTGAGGGGCCTGAGGGGACAAACAGCTCAGGATAGAACCACTGACACTGACGGACCTTTGTCCAGAGCAGAGTGGGGCTCAGGGCCTAACCAGAGATTTTGTAGCCAACCCTCCCTCAGTGTGCCCCCATCCACCAGCCAGAACCCAACTCACTCGGCTCTGCGCTGCACAAAAAGACCCATCACCCTGCACCGGATGGCCAGCCTCCCCTGGACCCCCGACTGTCCTCCCTGCTCACAAGACAGAGACAGTCTGTGCCGTCTGAAGCCTTCATCTGCAGCAGATGATTGTACAGCAAACAGAGCGGTTCACCATCACATCAAGGTACCTATCACATGTTTAGACAGGTTTTAAGAGTGTGTGGGATGTTCTTTGCCGGACAATTTTCCTTCGAAAATTTGATTAAAATTCTTCATGTTTTGTAACTAAAAAAAATAATTGCATGTCAGTAAAGCTTCTTCACTTTACGCATTGCAAGAAAGTGCAGCTAACATCATATTCAGGGTCCCATCCAAGAGTTGAGGTACGCAGTTTAATTACCAGTGCCAATACTTACACATACATGTGAACACACACACACACACACTCACACACACACACACACCATCACACTTTGTCTGCCTGTGCTCTATCCACACCATCACACTCACTTTCGTACATTCATCCCCTCCCTCTCAGATAGAGCTCTCTGTGTAGGCAGTAGTGACTCATCCTGGCTCTCTGCTCCTCTCTAGATCTGCTCTGCTTCTGCATGTGTGTGTGTGTGTGTGTGTGTGTGTGTGTGTGTGTGAGTGAATGTATCCGGTATCAGCAGAGCCCATGCTGTCCTAGAACCGGAGGTGTGTCCGCATGGGTGATTAGGAGCAGGGCCTGTGAGCTGGCCACTGATGGAAATGAGAACGGACTGTTTGATTGTCCTCTATAAACAAGTACACACATACATTACACACTCTCGCCCACTCACCCCACCCACACATACAGTATACACACACACCTATTGATTTAAGTCTGGTCTTCATCAGTGGACTTACTCATCCTGCCTCCAGCCTATAGGGTCCGCTCTGCTGATGCTCACGGCCAATAGATGTGGGACTGGCCAAAGTATATCTGAGCATGTGGCCTAAAGGTTGCCTGGGTGCATTAAATACATGTCAGAATGTTTGAAACGATTCCTTAAGTGCTGAAGTTGCATGTTGGATAACTGTGGATGGGCCGCTGCATCATTTTGGTCCACAGGCAATATTGCATGTACGTTAATACTCCAGCGCTCTGTGACCTCTGCCAGCAGTTTTGAGTGGAAAAGAGGACACAGTCATATATGCATATAGGTGCTAAAACAATTTTTTTTTAAATTCTAAGGTCCCTGACACACTAAACCATTTGTCAGTGTTGGCCATCGATGACCATTTGTTGCCCTAGTTTTTGAAATGTGTCCCCTACCATCAGCACTAGTTGGCCCTTGTAGTCCCTTGTAGGCCCATTTCACCTTTTTTTTTTTTTTTTTGTCTGGCCAGTTCAGCATGTTGAATTGGTCTCGGAGATGGCGGAGCCCGTCTCTGAATGAAATCATTCTGACTGGCGGTTCAGCTCAGTGCACAAGGAGAGAAACGGAAGTGAGGAAAGCAAATGAAATAAATAAAATGTATTATAATTATTATTATTATTATTATTATTATTATGATTTATTAAATAAGAGGGCGTGAGAGTGACAGAAACTTGTTCTATTAGTTGAGAATTTGTTTTTAGCCATTGAGCTCTTCAGCATAAATGGTTCGTAATTGTTTGTGGTACTGTTCACTAGCACATGGTAAATATCATGTTGTGTTATCAATGTGCTAACTGACGAACTAGCATCGTAAATCCGTCCTGTCAGTCTTCCAGTTTCCCTTTTTTAATGGCGAATACAGATCACAGTGACCTACTGGTATGGAGAATTATTTTCTCTTGCGCAGGCGCAGAATATATGCCCTAGTTGGCTGTCTTTGCAGTGTGTTCAGGTGCAACCTTTTGGCACGGAGAAAATGAAGCTGTGATGTGATTTTTTTAGTTATACTAGCAACCTTAAAGGATGGCAAAGTTGGTCAAGTCCACTACTATGGTGTGGACTGAAATATCTCAACTACTAGTGGATGGATTGGCATGAAAATTACATACATACTGTCATGGTCTCCAGAGGATGAAACCTAGGGATGTCCTGATTGTTTCTTTAACGCCACCTTGAGGTTGAAATTTTTGTTTTTTTGTTATGGCTTGACAACTCTTGGATTCTTTTGGTATTGATTACTATTCTGCCCAGAGAATAAAGTATGTAATGTATTTGATTATTTCTCCCTTAGAACCACTAACAGGCCAAAATTTTCTTACACTGTAAAATATTTGAACATTTACTGGATGAACTGGCACCACTTTCTGTACAGACATTCATGGGTGGTGAACACTGCTACATGAAGCTACATGCTAGCCTCAGGGAAACATGTAAATTTGGTTGCCTATGTTGTGAAATTCTCCCCAGTTTCAGATCATATTTCTGCTGCAACATGTCCGCTTGTGAAGATTTTAGTTTAGAAGCTTTTATTAATGATTTTTCACAGTAGAAAGTGCTGTTAAACTCTAGTACAGTCATTTCCTGGCTGCAATAATGGTGCAGAGGTGCCGAGAGTGCAGAAGCGGAAGACCTGGAAATACTGCCCAGTCAGAGCAGACTGGGCTTTTTCAGTAGGGGGCCTTAAAGAGACAGGCGTTAAAATTGAACGTAGTATTTCTGTCAGGACTACTTTAAGCAAAGAAAACTTTATTTCCATTTGCAGTATTATATTTGGCACTATGGCTCTGTACTGGGGCCTCTCTGCTTTTCCTAGGCCTATGCAGAAAGACTAAGGTAGAGAGAGCACACCTCTCTGCCCTTCCTTGTGCCTGTATAGAAAGCCTTAAGGCAGAGAGAGCAGCAGCAAAGACCCCCCTGAAACAGAACAGAGCAGCATCAGTGACAGAAAACAGAAATGACATTAACAAGTCAGACACAACATGAAAAAGAGGAGCTGTAGTGGAGGCAGGTTGCAAAGCAGCTTGTAGAGGAAGCAGCAACAGTAGGCAGGCCAGAGCAGCTTAAATAGGGCGCCCTGAATGAGATATGCCAGTTGGTTGCATAGAAAGGAATCATGTGATTTGTCAGCTGACTCCCTTTCATCAATCAGCTGCTCCATCAGTTGATTGGACTGTGAGCTGGGATGTGAGCTGAGCTTGACATCGTGTCCTGCCTGAAGTAACGCTGTGCTCAATATTTGAAACATTAATGTCTGTAAACATGTTCTAGTAGAAACCCAAAGTACAACCCTCATTATGAACATAAAAGATCCTCTTTAAGACTTTTATTATGACTGTGTCTAGATATTTTACACTGGAATCAGTGAGTGACTGGTGTTTTGTTGTGTTCTCTAGTACATGGGCAGTGTGGAGGTGACCCAGTCCATGAGAACCCTCGACTTTGATACGAGAATGAAAGTCACACGGTAGGACGTCCCACTGCATACACACACACACACACACACACACACACACACACACACAGTAACATAAGACACTTAAGAATGAACATCTAAGTGCTGACGTGGTCTCAGAATAAAACTATCCATGAATGAGTTCATATTTTGCATTTGCATGGAAGAAGGAAGAGTTAAGAGGAAGTTTTTTTACAGCATATATTTGCCGAGCAATACATATGAGATTTATTATAAAAATGTTTCAAAGAGGGAAATCAAATTAGATGTATAATGTTTCATAAAGCGGAGCTTTCTCCTCATCATTTGATATTGACATCCTTGTGCAGGATGCCAAAACGCCGAAGGACACAGCTACTTCTGTTCACAACAACACTGCTGAATGATGGGGCAGAAAATCCAATTAGATGAATTTCCTCCTAATGATCTCTCATAGTCTTATTAAGAGAGAGAGAGGGAGAGGGACCTCAATCCATTACATACAATTTGTTTTCAAGGAGAAGAAAAGCACTTCCTGGAAAAAAAGTCCTGCTTCCTAGATAATGGGATGTTACTTTTGTGTGTGTGCGGCTGTTTGTATAGTTTGGCCTCTCTGACCTGAGCATCAGCTCTTGGAAAACAAGCAGCTGAAAAATTACAGTCTTTCTATGGGCACACATACCAGGAGTATATTTGTGGTCAATTATAGATCAAGCAGATTTTTTTTTTGACTAAAGATGTTGTTTTGATTATTTTTCAAACAGTTTTTTGTGTTTCTTTTGGGTCGAATCTATCTCTGTTTATATGTATGTGTATATATATACATACATATGATATAATATGCGTACATATACATATATGAGACTGTACACTGAGAGTAGCAAGGGGGGGAATACATCAGGAAGATGACCCCAAAGATGAGCTGTTAAGTGACTACCTCAGGCAGCAGAAACCCGAGAATGCAGAAGAGGAGGATGAACCATCATGGAAGGACAAGCCCCTGCTCGGCATGTACCACTGACAGATTGAAGAGGTGGCCGACATCAAGAAATCCTACCTGGCTGGACTGAAAGAAAGCACAGAAGCACTAATCATGGCAGAACAGGAACAGGCACTTAGTACAGGATCAATAGAAGCAGGGGTCTACCACACCAGACTGGACCCCAGGTGCAGGCTGTGCAAAGATGCTCCTGAGACAGTTCAGCACATAATAGCAGGGTGTAAGATGCAGACAGGAAGACCGTACATGCAACGCCATAACCAAGTGGCTGGCATAGTGCACGGGAACATCTTCACTGAGTATGGGCTGGAAGTCCCAAGGTCAGAATGGATGACACCTCCTAAGGTGGTTGAGAATGACAGAGCTAAGATCCTGTCGAACTTCCAGATCCAGACTGACAAACTGGTGATGGCTAGACAACCAGGCATCAGGAAGAAGGAACACCAGAAGCTGAAATAGCAGCTAGACAAGATGTGGGGAGTAAAAATGACATTGGTGCCGGTCGTAATTGGAGCACTGGGGGCTGTGACACATGCAAACTGGGAGAGTGGCTCCAGCAGATTCCAGGTAAAGCATCTGAGGTCTCACAAACCCTTCTACCTGGCTCATAGGGGCTTTCCAGCTCCTTAAATGACATTGGTAATGGCAGCGTTTCAACCTGACAAAGTCTAGCAGTGTATCATAAGGTGACAGGTGCCGTCCAGCAGTGTTATGAACTGACACTGCCCACCCGCGTAAAAAACTGCAGTGTTAGGTGACGTCTGACCAAAGGTGGCTTTTGGCATCAGGTGTCTGTCTCTGAAATCACTGACAAAGGGGACCTTTGACTATTTCGGAATGAGAACCGACTGAAAACAAAGGTTGAAAAAGATCAAAGTTACCCTTTGGAGCCAATTTTAGACGCTTTGTGTAGATTAGTAATATGGCACTACATCGTATCATATAAGCAAATGTATTTAGTTACACTTCACCACTGCATGAATTATTACTATTCAAAGTAATTTTACAGTGTATTTTATTTCACTGATATACTGCAGATGAGCTTCTTGTGATGTGGTTTCCTTCCTCATGTTCTCACATGCAAGTCATTTGTTAGCAGGATGCACTGGATCAGTTATTTACAAAGGTATCTCTGTGTTTGGTGTGTGTATGCGTACATGTTTATAATATGTGTGTGTGTGTTTGTGTGTGCAGAGAGGCAATCAGCAGACTGTGTGAGAGGACTTCAGCCAAGACAGCAGTGAAAACTAAAAGGGTACATGCAACCACACACACACACACACACACACACACACACACACACACACACGAACCAACGCAATCAACATGATATAACTAGAATAACTGTGATTTTTTGTCGTCATCAGCCTGTATGCAAGGGACTGTCTGCTGTTCTGGGTCAAATCAACCTCCAGTTTTCGGGGAGCAGGATCATCCTCACTGTCTCCACAGACAGTGTGACTCTGATCGCTGCCTCCTCCTTACAGGTGACAGCTTCAACCATGCTTAACCAAACTGTCACACATCTGAATTTTTGAGGTATGGAGTATTAATAAGAAACCTGTACTTCTGTTTTTCTTCTCTCTTCTCCTCAGAAGATTGCACACCACCCCATGCAGACCATTTCATTTGCCTCAGGAGGAGACCCAGTATGTTCATATTCTCAAATGTTTCACATGTACAAACATGGGCAGATAGGGACACAAACACGCACACACACATACACAGTCAGTAATTTGATTTAGTTTAATTACTGCTTGATTACTTAGTTTGCTGACATTCGTGGAGGATTGAATTATTTCCTCTTGGTCCTTCTATACTTTTACTTGGTAGTGCAAAGTCAGGGCGGGTGTTTATCAAGCTTCCAAGAAAAAATTTGGATGCAAAGTTAGGAGTAAAGCTAAGTGTCAGATTTCCTTATGAATTCAAAAAACTTAGAAAGTTTAGAGAGCCTCGAAGATGTCTCGAGAGTAGATTGCAGTACAAAAACAGAAGTGAGCATACACCTTCTCTGTCTTTTTTAAAATGCCTTGAACACCACAAGCTGAGTGTCATATAATTACATTACACTGGGGAGAAGGCAGACATCTCTATGGCAGATATCTTCAAAAAATATGTATTTTTGATTTAGGGTGAAATGTCCCTTTAATGAAGCTTCATACTGGCTACAGCACACTATTATCAGTGTTCGGAAAGAGCTTACAGACGTGCTTCAAGGAAAAGATAGTTTCAATGCAGAGCAAGATGTTCAGCACCAGAGACTGAACTGAAATGTTAGCTCAATGGTCAGCTAGCAGCAGATGCACGCTTCCTTCTTTGTAGTGATATTGATGGCGGATGTCGTTTAAGTAGTTCCTACATGAAACTGCTCACTACGAGGTCATGATTTCTGGAAAGAGACTGCTGTTGAGTTTTTCAAATGTGTTTATTTGGCACTTTGAGCACCACAGGCCGAGTGCTGTCTAGCTCCATTATATTTGAGAGAAGGCAGACATCTCTAAGGCTGATATCTCCAACAATCAGCAACTCACAAAATCAATCTAGATTGATAAACAGCACCACAGATAAGAGGGAAAATATGTGTTTTTGATTTTGGGGTGAACTGTCCCTTTAAGCCTAACATTTGATTGGATGTTACAGCACTTTTTTGTTTTTCTTCTATCACAGACATTTTCCCATTATTGTGTATTATAATTAAATTGCTTAAAATTGACAGAATCTCACCAGGTAAACTTTTGTATTTTTCTAAAAGATTAATCAACATGGCAGATGTAGAGTAAATTCTCATCTCTGATTGGCTTCTTAAGTCTTAAGTCATGAAGTCCTTTCTTGAGACTTAATACAGCTGTCAAAGCCGGGATGTTCTTTCGTCAACTTTACACTTCGCCAGTTCCCTTTCAAACTAATTACTCTTATCTATTTTCCTTCCCTGTCCCTCCATGCCCACATTATTTCCATATGACAGAATTTGGGTTATGCATCCTAAGTGAGAAAAAAAAATCAATGCTGCTCCATTAATGTCCGAACAGCCAACAGGACATGTCAGTTATTAGCTGCTGACTAGGTCAAACCCTGCTGACTAACAAAAACTGTTTTATGATTTGCTTTGCCATTTTGATACTGCGACGTCGCGCTGGCCAAAGATTAGAGAGAACAGGAAGGCAGCTTCTCTCTAGGAAACACAACACCGGTGCAGCTATGGATGGGATTATAGCTCGCTGTTTAATTAATTAGCTAAAATAATCTTGTAGTGCGCTCTAAGCTTCGGCTCAGTTGGCTTGGACACATAGAAGATAGCGGGGGGAATTAAAATCAATCTGTCACAGAGGCTTTATGCTGAAACATATTCAGCTGACTCTGCTCTTGTATTAGTATCAGAAAAACCACTGATAGGGAGTGAATTAATTAAACAGAGAACACACATGGATGGCCAATAACTGAAAATGTCTGCTGTGGTTTTAATGATTAAATGTGCTGCCACCAAGCAGAAAACCCACCAGATGTTGCACAGGTTATAACTCAACAACACTGTCAGAAGGTTTATTATTAACTTTGTGCACATACAGAGAAAAACAGAGAAAACCTTTGAGCGAGATTATGTAACTTTCAGAAGAAGGAATAACATTGTTGTTTTCACAAATGAAAAATCGAAATCATGGGCAATAAAATTTAGCTTGCTCACTCCAGTACCTGCAGGTGTTTTGCTGCTACAGCCTTACTTGTTCTGGTATGACCAGCAGTTTATGGTGGCTAATGTTAGCTAACCCTACACAAATACTGCTGTGTACATTATTGAGTGAATGTGTTGCCTTTTTTTTCTTATCTACTTGTGCTGCTGTTATGCTAGATTTGTGCTTGATGCATCTGCAAGGATTGCAAGTGTCCACACAACCACAGTAATGTGGCACTATCAGACTCTCCCTTTGCAGGGATGCTGTGCAGCGGGTTTTTGTCTTTCTGTACACATCCAACATTTTCTAAATACGCAGGCGCTGATGGGTGGACAGCCATGCTGTTAACATGAGTTCCAACCCATGGATGTATAAAAAGTAATTGATACAGTGTTGGAGGCAGGGCCCTTTTCATTCCTATGAAAGTTGCTCAGTGGCGCATGAAGCCAAAAAAAGGTTGACTTTACGGGTTTAAATTTACCCAGATCTTCCGCATCATTTGGCCCCTAGAGCAAGACTTCTCTTCTCTAGTTTGAATAGGGGTAAAATTATTTAATCTTACAGCTCTTCCAGACTTTTGAAATGATATCAGACCGAATTAATCAAATTCAGATAATGAAATGAGTCAATTTTTTTTGTGACGCTCAAAAAAATTGATTCACTGATTTACAGACGTCTCTTTCCTAATGTAAGTCTATGGAAAAAAGACTTTTTGGGCCCAGTGGAATCACGTGAAGGACCCACAACTTGGAGTTAAACAATTCCACCACTATGTCATATTGTCTTTTTGGTAGCCTGAAGAAACCACACAGACTACAAAAAATCCAAACATTTCCTCTTCATGATCCTGCATCAGCTCATCTCTGTGCAACTGTCCATAAAGTATAACTGAAGCTTTAATCTATGTATGTTATGTTTATTTTAGCATTTAGCATCTTGTAGTTGCCATTTGGGGCCACAGAGGCCGCTGATCAGTTACATTTAAGTCACACTTGTTATTTTTTTCTCTCAATTCTTTACAGGAAATGGCAGATTACATTGCTTATGTTGCCAAGGATCACAACAATCAGAGAGGTAAGAGTTTAATTCTACATTTAATGAGACAGATTTTCTGGCTTCATTGTATAAACACACAACTTTTTACCGTCATTATGTTCTCTCTCCGCGTCAGCATGTCACATCCTGGAGTGTCCTCAGGGTCGAGCCAGTGAGGTGATCAACAGCATCGGTCAGGCATTTGAGACTCGTTTCCGCCAACTCCTCAGCCACACACCATCGCTCCTCTCCACCAATCCCAGGTTGTCCTTCTTGGTACTGTAGCTGTAGTTTTGGTATGTTTAATGTTCTGTATATTTCAATCATCTGGTCAGGAGTGCAATTAAGCAACTCTACACTGGCCAGAAACTTTTTTTGCTGACTTTTATGAATGAGTTTGATCCAATTTTGTGTTTGTGTATTTGTGAAGAGCTGAAAGATTAGTTGATTAATTGGTTAGAAAACAGAAAATTATAATACAGCTAATCTGATAATCAAGACATTGTTTTTGAGTAATTTTTTAAGCAAAAACACCAAAGATTTGCTGTTCTAGCACCCAAATGTGGGCATTTAGTGCTTCTTATTATCTTACAGACAGATACTCTAGTTTATAAGTCTATAGTAGACAGTAGCAGGATAGCTTTGGGTTTTGATCTTAGTTGAACAGACAAGCAATTTAAAATTTTCACTCACAAAATTATTGGCAGATTAATCAATAATAAAGATAAATGTATTCAAATTTGATATCCATCTGACACGCACTGCAGGACTTTTATTCAGCAAACACAAAGGAATCTATGATTTTGAATTGAGCGAGTGTCTCTCTTTGTATTTGTTTTTTTTTGTCAGTGTGTGTATGGCAAGTTCTTCATGCCACAGCTTCTCCAGTGCTGTGAGGTGAACATCATGTGACTGTCTGTGTGCAGGTCAGCAGTGAGGATCTGTCACAAATGGAGCCCAGAGGAGACGATAACAAATCGAAAGGCCAAGCAGGAAGTTGAAGTTAGTGAGCAACATGACTACTATAATGTGATCCCAGGAAAGACGCCACCCGCTGGTGGAATAAAGGACCTGCGGATCACAAGGGAGGAGAGCAAACAGGATGCTGACGTACAGAGGGTAAGAGTTCATTTTAACACCTGAACACGAACAATATTTAATCAACAGCAGTTTGACCAGAAGAAGAAAAAAAGACAAAGTATTGATCAACTATAAAAGCATTATATATTGTGGAATGAGCTATGCAGCAGTATAAAGTTAATTAAATTAGCTCCACATGTACCAGCTGCAGCATTACAGCGATTAACACATTAATGCATCACTAATTATAATCCACTAATATAATAGAAACTCTTCTGATAAGGGCAGTTCTACATAAAAAGTACTTTTATGTTTGATGATAATACTTTTGGACTTCTACAAGTTAAATTTTGAATGCATGGCTTTACTTGTAACAGAGTATTTCTGCACTAAAGTATTGCAACTTTTACTTAAGTTAAAGTCAATGCTTCTTCCACCACTGCACTTTGTAGTCAGTATCAGCAAATGCCATTAAGTTAATGCCTTTTTCTTCTTTTTGTGACATTAAGTGATTAGAGTGAGTCCTTGGATGTGCAGATAGTGTATTGTATACACTCTGTATTTACTCCAGGTTAGTGGAGTTGTAAATGTCTCAGTGATTTCATATGTGTAGGTTAGAATTATATTTCAGAAGTTTTTTTTTTGTTTGTTTGTTTTTTACATGATCCAAAAGGTAATTTTACATTTTAAAAGAAATTAACAATCAAATTTTATCTGTTGGCCACTGAGCAGAAGTAGTTGACTTGCTCAAGGGCACCTCAGTTGTTGGTATGAACTTATTTTGCTTGAATCATTGTACTGGTCTGGGAATTAAGACAGTGACTTCCTGGTCATGAGCACATGTCTCTAACCTTAAAGCCATCACTGCACTTGAATGCGGACACACACACTCACACACAAACATGCACAGATCTCTGTCTTGTGTGTGACTCATCTCGTGCTGTTGCAGGTTTGTTCGTCTCAGCCTGTTTCACTGTATGAGAACTGCTCCGTCGCAGAAGAAACTCCAGCTCCACCTGCAGGTAAAACTCATTCACACACTGCCAGCCCAATTTAAAATGTGCCTATGTGCTGTGTGTTTCTATATGCATGTTTGTAACTGTAACTATGTGGCTACGTGCATGACAAAGCATAGTTTAAACTAAGGTTAGGAATAATTACAGCGCAGGTAAAGTTTGTTTAAAATGATTAAACCAGATTTAAATTGAATCCCGTCTGTGTTGAATAATTTCAATTAAAACCTCATTTACTAAAACTCAGTTAGATAGTTTAAACTAACTTGAAATATCAGGTTAAACCATGCTTGAACACATTATAGGCCAGAATAAAAATACAGATTATAACAATCATGAATAGAAGCCCATAATAAGTCATCACTTAGATTACAAGTTACATTTGAATACAAAAAGCACTTTACACAGTTAAAGCCATAGAAGAAGAAGAGGTGATGCTGGTTGGAATAACCCTTTTTTATGTACTGTGTATTCTTCCTCTATTATATTTTCTATCAGACTCAGTGGTATCTGAGGACGTTGCTGAACAGAGTACTCCACTCTCTGAGACACTGATCCGGGAGGAAGGCTGGTTCCACGGCAGGTAAATAATCAGCATCCCTGTACTTTAACTCCTACTGAATCACCAACTTTAAAGTCCGTCTGCTAATGTACATTGCCTTTTTCCTTTCTCAATAATTTTGTGTCCTCCATCCTAGGTTAGGAAGGGAGCAGGCGGAGTCACTTCTCACCTGCAGTGGAGATTTCCTGGTCAGAGAGAGCAGCTCTGCCTCTGGTCAGTACGTTCTCAGCGGGATGGAAGGAGCCACTGTGCGGCATCTACTGCTGGTGGATCCACATGGACAGGTAGGGTTGTGGTGTTGGATTTTAAATACATAAAGTATGAGGAGAGGAGAACAGCAGCTGGCCTTAAAGGGATAGTTTTGATTTTTTGAAGTGGGGTTGTATGAGGTACTTATTAGGGTATTATCTTGAGTAGATGTCAGTCGGCAAGCTCCCAGTATTGAGAGGCAAACAGGAGTACCGACACAGAAGCCAAGCTGTGTTGTGGATGGGAATTAGCAGCAAAGTGAATTTTAGCCACCTAAAAAAATCAATATCAGTTTAAGTGTGCACTGTATTGAGAATATTTTCACTGCCTCACCTACCGTCAGAGAGCCCTTTTCTTTGGCACTACATTTTTTCAACCATAGAACTCCATATTCTAGAGCCACCACCGCGGGATTCAAACCCCTCACCCTGGGTTCAAACCAGAATCCCTCTTGCTGTGAGGCAACAATGCTAACTACTGCACTACTGTGCTGAACATAGCGTACACTTAAACTGATATTGACTTTTTTGGGTGGCTAAAATACATTTTGTTGTTGCCCTGTCCATAGCAGTCCATTACTTAGCTTTCATGATGGTATTCCTGCCTGCTTGTGCAAACTGCAGGCGTGCTGACGTCAACTGTAGGCAACACACCTCCTGTGGATAAGTACCTCATGCACCACCACTTTAAAACACGGACCAACCCCCCTTATGCTTAACCCTGTTATCTGTGTTTTCGTGTGGTCAGGTGCGGACCCGTGATCAGGTGTTTCTGAGCGTTGGTCACCTGGTGCGTTTTCACATGGAGAACCAGATGCCCATCATTTCTGGAAGCAGCGAACTGTGTCTGAAAGAGCCAATCCTGCAAAGACACTAGCACACACATTCATCGACTGTCACATGCATACATTACTCTTCAGCAGCGGCTCTCAACAATTTTGAAGCTGAGCGACAATGTGCCCAAGCAAAACATGTTTAAACTATAGAACACTTTAAATCAACCTGTCAATGTGTGAGACTTCACTTCCCAGAGTATTTTATCATTTGTTCATTATAGTACATGTATTTCATATGTGCGATGAATTGTTTGACTCTCTAACCATTTGAGTAAACTCGTACACTTTTGCCCGCCGTGCCTCGCCCTGTGCTGAGAACAGACCTGCAGAACATCCTGTCTCTTTCTCTAAGGCTAAATTCGCTGGTGTTTACTTAAAGTCCAAGCACAATCACTGGTGTTGGGAGGAAAACAGGAATGTTAGCAGACTTTCAGAATATTTTTCTGACATGCTTAATTTGTCTTGTGTTCATTAGTTTTGATCTGTTATTGCTTTGTGTTCCTATTTCCTATGCTTGACTTTTGAAAATAACTTTTCATCCCACTTGTTTGTTACATTCTAGATAAAGAAGTCGACTGCTCTTTGTAAGCAGAATCTGCAGAAACAGATTTGCAGTTTAGCCTCAGATAAGCTAGCAAATATGCAAATAGAATTGTTTTTGTTCCCCATAAAGTGTAAATAAATACATCTTCATTTCTTTTACAGAATGAATTACTGGACTTTGCAATTTCTTTCTTGTTAATCTTCCAACCACAAAACACAACTGTATTTCTTCTGACACCTTAGAAAATAAATGTGGAAATATAAAGAGAAATAAATGAGTTAATAAGTAAAACAAATGGGGGAATATTAAAAATAAATGAATGAACAAGTAAATGAATGTGGTTAATAAAATAATTAATAAGAGAATAATGTGGAACTATAAAGAGGAATAAATGAAAGAATAAATAAGTAATTAATGTGGATACATATAAAGGGAAATTAAACAATAAGTAAAACAAATGGGGGAATATTAAAAATGAATAAATGAACAAGTAAATGAATGTGGAAATATAAAGAAAAGTAAGTAGATAAAAAATGAAAAATACATGAAAAAATGAATACATGTGGAATAAATGAAAATATCAACAGAAATGAAAGAATAAATAAATGTGGAAATATAAAGAGAAATATAAAAAATAAGTAAATAGTAGAAATGTAAATAAAAGAATGTGGAAATACATAAAAAATGAATTAATAAATGTGGAAATATAAAGAAACATAAGAGAAGAAATAAGTAAATAAATGTTGAAAAATCAAGAGAAATAAAAGAAATAAATACATGTGGAAATATAAGAAAATAAATGAATGTGGTAATATAAAGAGAAATAAATAAGTGAATAAAAAATGTGGAAATATTAAGACAACTAAATATAAGAGTAATTACAAGCAAAGAGGAATAAATGAAAGTGCATAAATAAATGTGGAAATATAAAGAAAAATAAAAATTAAGTGAATAAAAATTTGGAAATATCAAGAGAAATAAAATAAGTAAATAAATGTGTAAATATAAAGAGAAATAAATAAAAATGGAAATGCATAACAAATAAACGTGGAAATATAAAGACAACTAATAAAATAATAATTACAAGCATTTTCATTATTTTTTTACACTGTTGGAAGGAAAAAAAATCTAAGCTTTTATTTCTATATGTCACATTAGCACATAATGACTGTCACCAGGATGTGATCTTGGGGAAAACTAGACCCTTAAAAATTGGCAGTATTGTCTAGTGGCCTCATTAACTGGGAGCGCATGCTGTATACCAGGGGCTATCCCGGAGTAAAAAATAACCAGAAAAGCAGGGGGACACTTTTATTTTGTAGCCGACAAGGCAATAAAACAAACATACCCAACAACAGGAAGACAAGAAAAAAATGTCCGAATAGCTTGAAGAGCGAAGTTAGCATACGCAGTTAGCAATGGACTTTACACCACAATATCCACAACTTGGATTATTTTTTATCATTTTTTTGATTTATTTGATCGTTGGAGCCTTACGGACTAAAGGGATGTGAATAATTCAGGAATGGATGCAAATTTGGACCGAAGGGTCGCTCCAAAGGTAACGTTGGGCGTAACATAGAGCTAACGTTAGTTTACGCGGGTTGCCAGTTGGGGAGAAGTAGTTAAATGAAACGAACCATCCGTCCACCTTTGGCAATTAAGTAAAATATAATATTTCCCTAAAATATGTAGTGGAGTAGAATAAATGTGTAGCCTAGCATAAAATGGACACAGTGTAGAGGACAGTAACGTTAACGTTACAACTTTCGACCGCTGACTGTCTGAACTGTCATGGAGGAAGGGATGTTGGAAATAACATAAATACTGTCATTAACGACAGAATACTAAAAACATAATGTCATAATGTCATAATGTCGTGTCAGAGCGCCTGCATTTTAATTAATGTTTGGTCGCACAACTTATTTATAAATTAACCTTGAACCTTAACTAAGGTTAATCCAAATCTCGCTATAGAAACGTAATCTCGTTCCCGTGACTCCAGCATAAAGTTGCTATGGCAACTTGGGGGGTCAAATCAAAATTCAAAAAATAAACTTTTCATTTTCAAACATTTTATAGCTGCATGGTGGAGCTGCTGTAGTTGTTGCTGGAAAAATGGAAAAAAGCCAGAAGAAAGGCCACTGACACAGAGACGGCATGATTCACACAGAAAATATTTTAGTGTCACTAAGGTAAGGATATTTAATATTTAATTTTTAATTTAATTATTTATTTATTTATAAGAGCACAGTCATAGGAGGTTTACAGTTGGTTTGTTTACACTGGTCTGTTAAAAGTTTTGCAAGTGTTTAAACAACATATTTTTTGGGATTCAATAATACATGAGACAAGGTAGTCTTTGTGGGAATGTTTTATGATAAAATTGAGCTACTACATGAGAGGGAGGGGGAGTAAAGGAAATTATACAACATGGCACACTTGGTTTGTTTGTTGCTGTTCGCTAACAACAGCATTTACAGGAATATGACAACACATGCAGTTTAATCCATATGAAATATGTGGTGAGTCTATCATGTGGCCCTGTTGAAGATAATCACATTCGTGCTGATATTTGGCACAAAACTCACGATCCCTTTTCTTTTTTTGCTCTTAGTTCTGTAGCTGAAAATTCTGACGAGGAACCAGCAAAAGTTACCACAGAAGTTGAAGATGAAATACCTAGAGAAGAGAAACAAAACAACTTCATGAAGACACTGCGATCCATGTGGCAAGTTCTTTTGGCTGGGATTTTGATAGCACTCTTCCTTGGTAGTATTGTGGGCGTCCTTACTGCGCAGATAACCCAAGAGCAACGTCTGAGAGCGGAGAGACAGCACATGGCAAGTAACACCAAGCAGCTGCAAATGAAAATCAGTGAGCTGGAGCAACTTCTGAACTCCACTCGTCAAAACTTCACCCTTCTCGGAAGTGAGTATGGCCAACTGAAGCTGCTTGTAAATGCAACACAGCACAACCTCACCTTGTTGTCTGCTGAAAACGCACAGCTGAGCCTGCTCTTGCAAGAAAAAATTCGGTTGCAAGTGGAGAACACAGAGCTGAACATGATTCTGAATTCAACCCTGGATAACTGTGAGCTTCTGGAGGAGGAAAACAGACAACTGGACCTGCTTCTGAATGAATCTTTGGACATCATCAACACGGTGTCTGCAGAAAGCAAACAGCTGCACCTGCTTTTACATGATGAACAACAAACCTCCAATCAGCTGGAAGCAAAGAATCAACACCAGCATTCAATCCTGTTCTCAGACAAACTGTCCTTCCTCTGGAGACTCTGCGACAAGGACACGCTGCAGTGTTCCCGCTGCCTGCCTGGCTGGGTCGAGCACGCTTCACGTTGCTTCTTCATGTCCCAGACACCAGAGAAGTGGCAAAAAGCTCGCAGGATATGTATGGACATGGGAGGTGACCTGGCTGTGGTTTTAAACGCAGAAGACCAGGAATTCTTAACCAACATGACTTTTGAGTTTGTACAGCAGCACCCTCAGATACACTTCCTCTCAGCGTGGATTGGGTTGCAGGACATGGTGAAGGAGGGCGTCTATATCTGGGTCAATGGCAAGACAGCCCGTAAAGATGTCAAGTACTGGCGGCCCCTGGAGCCCAACAACGCCATACCCTTCTGGGACAAAGACAGGGCAGGGCAGGACTGTGTTGCTATTGTCCCACCATCACATGTTGGACAGGAGAACTGGCTGAACTCGTGGGATGACATTATTTGTGGTGGCAAGCGGCACTACCTGTGTGAGAGCACAGCTCTCATTTTGTCAGGACTGACCTAGCTGCATGTCTTTGGTTAAGATGTGGAAGACAAGTAACATCTTACTGTTGCAGAGTATAGAATTTTTTTTTTTACATGCTAAATTTCTCTCATCTTCATTAGTTTTTTTCCCTTATCGCTATGTGTCCCAATTTCCTATGCACGACTTTTAAAGAATAACTTTTAATCCCACTTATGTTTTACATGAATAATTAATTCAAATGCTCTTTATTACCAGAATCTATAGAAACAGATTTGAAGTTTAGTTTCAGATAAACTGGTAAACATGCAAATAGTAATGTGTGTTGTTTATAATTCTTCAGTTCTTTCATAAAATGGATCACTTGACTTTGTAATTTCTTTCTTGTTTGGTTTTCTTCTTTGGGCAGAGTCCAAGGTGGCCTTACTGTTTCCTGTTGAGTTCAACAGCCTAATAAAGTGCTCAATGCATGTGCTGCACGAAAAAGGGAGATTTGATTGATTTAAAAGACTAAAATGAACTGTTCACTAATCCCAGCAAGCATTTTTTGGTTTAAAAAACATCTAATAGCCGTCTACATGAAGACCTGACGTCTAGGCTAAATCATGGCTGAATTTGGGCTGTTAGTGAAAATTTGGTAGACGTCTAACCATAGCCAAAGTGTAGACGTCATCAATTATACGGCTATGTAGAGACCATGTCCAAAAAATGGAGATAAACATATTTAAATTACTGTTGACTCTCCATACGTGATTGAATATCATACCGCACGCCATCTGCAATGGCGAAAATTACATTTAATCAATTTCAAAATTAAATTGGCTAGATTTGGGTTACATGTAGCTAGACTAAATCAGAGCTAAATATAGCCAATACGTTTAAATCACGACTATTGCTTGCTGGCTGGTTTTCTCTTTGTCTTGGTGTTATACTTCAGGAATCCCTAGACAGTTGTACAAAAGACCATTGCAACCAAAGCAAGGTAAAAAAAAAAATTAAGGTAACTGACTCTATCTTAACTGCAACATGACAGAGTTTATGGTGATAAATAAATAAAAAGAAAAAAAACTAACACACCCTGAGAAGAGTGTTCTGCCACCAGAAGAACCCGATGGATATGATTTTGATTTTACACTATAGATTTGACTGAATTAACTTTCATTGCAATTTCTTCCTACAATCGTTTTCTGGTATTTGGGGATCAAATTTACTTTGTAGTTTGTGCTTTCTATGATTGCATTCCTTCAGAAGTATAATTGTTTCCTCCTCTGACCAGTATGGTTTTCTTGTCTTCTTTTCTTCTGCTATTTATTCACTAACTATTAGCCAACTTTATGAGACGATAACAGACATCACAAGCCTGAGTCCAAGCAAATAAATAAACAATCTTCATGGAAACTTTTACCACTGTAAAATCTCTTTCAATGCATTAAGTGAGTTA